AAAAGAAATGAAATGTTGCTTCTAATCAGCAATATTCATGAAACTAGAGAGGCAAAAAAAAAAAGAGAAAATATGAACTTAGGTCCAACTTGGTTAGAACATATGGCATAAGTAGAAAAATAACGAAAAATAAAAGATTTTAAAAAGTGAATTGGGGCCTTAGCATGCAATGTCTGAATACTAAGCTAATGACCTGGTAGGAATTGGGAAGTTATTGCAGGCTTGAAGTAAATGAATAGAACTACACTTTAGAAATATGAATCTAAGGCTGGACACAGTGGCTCATGCCTATAATCCCAACATTTTGGGAGGCCTAGGTGGGAGGATCACTTGAGCTCAGGAGTTCACCACCAGCGACCAGCCTGGGCAACATAGCGAGACCTCATCTCTACTAAAAAGTAAAAATAAAAATAAATAAAATTTAAAAATAGTAAATATTAATCTAATAGCAGTATATAGTACAGACTGTACAGGATGAGGCTAGAAGCAAAGATGGGGAGTTAGACCATTCCAACACTGTTTACTTAAATAAATGTATGAAACAATTTACATCAAATATCTACCCACACATTGATGATAATGAGTCCTGATAGCACAAGTGTTTTCTTTAACCTCAGGGAAAATATCTCACTGAATCTTTAGATGGGTTTGAAGTAAAATACCTTGGTAGTCCTGACTCCTCCTCATCAACTTGGACCCTACATCACTCACTGGCAATAAAGCTTTAGATACACAGATATCAAAATGGGGAGAAACAAGAGAGAAAGAGCAAGGAATAACAACATGATTTACGTCAAAATAGATTGAGACAAAGGACGTAGGAATCAACTGGAAAGCTCCCCACAGTCCAAACTGGGACACTTTGAGGAATAAAATAAGGTCGTGTTAGATTATAACCCAAAGTGTCAAATATTTATGAGTTTATACTAACATAAATGATTGAATAAAATTTGAAAATTGAAGAAAAGTATGTGTGTTGAAAGCAGGGAAAACTGAGAATTTTGAGAATTTCTGTATGGGAGAAGAGATACAGCTGCCATACGGAACTCCACATATTTAGGTGGATACTCCTTCCTCAAGGAGAGCGGCATGATTCCCCACCCTGAAGTGGGGGTTTGCATGGTGACTTCCTTCCAAAAAGTACAGTATGAAAAGTACAGCATGCAAGTACACTTTCTATGCTGTATGGAGTAACTCCACACTGGAGAAACCTGACACAACGACCTGAGGCAGGTAATCAATGTCACTATCACTGGTAATATTATTGATAGTTTGCACCCCTGATTTGATGTGATGAGAATGGCACTTTACCTTTGTGGTCTTCCTCCCAAAACCTCATTACTCCAGTCTAACCATGAGAAAACCATCAGACAAACCTAAACTGAGGCACATTCCACAAAATACCTGACTACTCCTCTTGCAAACTGTCAAGGTCATCAAAAACAAAGAGAGGATGAGAAACAGTCACAGTTTAGAGGAGCCTAAGAGAACATGACATTTAAATGTAATGTGGTATTCTGGATGAGATGCTGGAACAGAAAAAAACAGTAGGTAAAAACCAAGTAATCTGAAGATAGTATGGGCTTTGATTAGTAATAATGTGTCAGTATGGGTTCATTAATTTTGACAAACCTCCCATGGTAACGTAAGATGTTAACCAACAGGAGGAAAATTGGGTGCTGGATACCTGAGAGCTCTCTGTACTATCTTTGCAACTTTTCCGTCAATCAAAAATGATTCTGCAATTAAAAGTTTATTAAAAATTATAAAAGTGCATTGAGAAAATTCAAAACTCTTCTTTGTGTGTCCTTTATAGGTGAAAAGCTCTTACTGAAGCAACAAAAATCAGCAGACAGCTCTTCAGCTTGAGTTCTTCGCCATCTTTTGCAACTGAAATATGATGGATGTGTTTGAGTACAACTGATGGCATGGAAAAACTCAAATTTTTGATTTGTTATAAATGAATGTTGTCCCTGAGCTTAGCTAAATGGTGCAGCTTAGTTTCTCCTTGCTTTCATATTATCGAATTTCCTGGTTTATGAACCTTTAAAATTACATTTGAAATATAAACCAAATAAAAGATTTTACTGACAAGATTCTTCATGCCTTTTTGCTCCCCTTAAAATGTCTTTTTCACTAGTTAATTCCAAAGGTCAGTCTCATAATTTTGTTTTTATACTTTGGTTTCTTTTTTCTTTTCTTTTCTTTTTTTTTTTTTTTAACAGAGTTGGGGGTCTTTCCATTTTTTTTTTTTTTTTTTGAGATGGAGTCCCACTTTGTCACCCAGGCTGGAATGCAGTGGTGCAATCTCAGCTTACTGCAATCACCACCTCCTGGGTACAAGCGATTCTCCTGCCTCAGTCTCCCGAGTAGCTGGGATTGCAGGTGCCTGCCACCTCGCCCAGCCAATTTTTGTAGTTTTAGGAGAGACGGGGTTTCACCATCTTGGCCAGGCTGTTCTCAAACTCCTGACCTCGTGATCCACCCGCCTCGGCCTCCCAAAGTGCTGGAATTACAGGCATAAGCCACCATGTCCGGTCTAGAGTTGGGGGTCTTTCTATGTTGCCCAGGCTGGCCTTGAACTCCAGGCCTCTAGCAAGCCTCCCATCTCAGCCTCCCAAGGTGCTAGACTACAGGTGTGAGCCACTGCACCAGGCCTCATACTTTGGTTTCTGAGCAGGAGATTTTGTTCCACAGTAACCCAGCTCTCTTTCGTCTAAGAACTTTAGATGAGAGAAAGAAAAAAATAGACTACAGATAACTATTCCAAGGCAGTTATGGTACATTTAGCCAACACTTTTGCTTCTTCTCATGCTATCTGTTAGTATTAATGCTGGCAAAGCAAGATTTTATGCAAAACAACATACCAAGCCTTGCTTTTCCACTGCATTCCTGAGGGGGTTATTTATTGTGTTGTTGATTTTCTTTCCCTTTTGAATATGAGATATCAGAGTAAGAAAATGTCAATGATCAAATTCAATGACACAATTTTGGTTAAATATTGATGGATAAAGGTGTAAAATGATTTTTTTCACATTTCTTATCCCATTCGATCCATCAGCATCATTTTGCCCTGATGAAAATTTCACTTCCTAATTTTCCCTAGTTCTCCTCCTACACTTCTGATTCCATTTCTTTTTCCTTGTGGGGGGAGGGAAGTGAGGGGCAAAACTATTTATCTTATATATTTATTGTGAAATCTCAGTGAGACAAAATGTCAAAGCACCTGGAACTTAGTAGGCACTCAACAAATTCAAGCACTCTGCCCCTTCCTCCACTTACTCTACAGATGCAGGTGCTTTGCAGGGTTCTAGCTTGGGTCCACTCCTTTCACATCTCATGTTCTTAGATAGTATCATCTACTCCCATGGTTACAACTACCTCTTAGGACCCCAAAGTCTGTACTTCCAGTTTCTCCCTTACTATTGATCTTCAGAATGTCTCTCTTGCTAGCTGTGAAAACGAGTCCATCTGGATGTCCCCTAGACCTTGTCTACCCAACAGGTCCAATGATATCACTTAGTTTTCAAGGTGAGAAATCCAGGTACCAATGACCGCTGAATTGCCTCATCGCACCTTTCTCCTTTTCCCCGATATCCAATTTCACCCACTCTGTCACTAATACTCCACTTGAAAGCCCCAAGGGGTGATTTCTTTTGTTTGCTGCTGTATTCCCAGTGTCTACAACAATGCCTGACACTTAGTAGGTACCTACTCAATCGTTTATTGAATTAATCTCTCCTTTCCTCTTTGCTGGCATAAATGTAGTCCAAACCTTATTATCTCTTTGGCAAATCATATTCATACCCTGTAAACTAACCTTCCTGCCTCTAGACTCCAGCTTCTCTTGCCTTCTCTCCAGTCCATCCTGTACACTGTGTACCATGAGTTAAATTGCAATTTTTTTTTTTTTCTTTTTTTGAGACGGAGTCTCGCTCTGTCGCCCAGGCTGGAGTGCAGTGACCGGATCTCAGCTCACTGCAAGCTCCGCCTCCCGGGTTTACGCCATTCTCCTGCCTCAGCCTCCCGAGTAGCTGGGACTACAGGCGCCCGCCACCTCGCCCGGCTAGTTTTTTGTATTTTTTAGTAGAGACGGGGTTTCACCGGGTTAGCCAGGATGGTCTCGATCTCCTGACCTCGTGATCCGCCCGTCTCGGCCTCCCAAAGTGCAAGGATTACAGGCTTGAGCCACCGCGCCCGGCCTTTTTTTTTTTTTTTTTTTTTTTTTTGAGACGTAGTTTCGCTCTTGTTGCCCAGGCTGGAGTGCCATGGCACAACCTTGGCTCACAGCAACCTCCACCTCCCGGGTTCAAGCGATTCTCCTGCCTCAGCCTCCTGAGTAGCTAGGATTATAGGCGTGCACACCACCCCGGCTAATTTTGTATTTTCAGTACAGACAGGGTTTCTCCATGTTGGTCAGGCCAGTCTTGAACTCCCGATCTCAGGTGATCCACCCGCCTCGGCCTCCCAAAGTGCTGGGTTTACAAGCGTGAGCCACTGCGCCCAGCCAAATTGTGAATTTTCTAAAAAAAACAGACCCCAGTATTTTCCTTGGTTCTTCACAGTGTAGCCTCATTTTACCTCTTTAGCCCACTCTCCTGCCAATTCTTCATTCATAAAATTCTCAATCTTCCCTGCCTTCAAGATACATACTTTTTAAAAATTTCAAATTCCAATTGTTCATTGCTGGTATATAGGAAAGCAATTGACTTTTGTACATTAACCTTGTATCCTGTGATCTTGCAGTGATTGTTTATTAGTTTCAGGAGACTTTTTGTATGTGTTTCTATATAGACAATCATGTTGACTGTGAACAAAGACAGTTTTATTCCTCCTTCCCAATCTGTATAAAGCTGCATTTCCTTATCTGGTCTTAATAGCTAGGATTCTGGTATGATATTAAATAGGAATATGAGAGTAAACATCTTTGCCTTGCTCCTGACCTAGGGTGAAAGCATATAGTCTCTCATCATTAAGTATGATGTAGGTTTTTTGTAGATATTCTGTATCTGATTGATGAAGTTCCCCTCTATTTCTAGTATACTGAATTTTTTTTTTTTTTTTTT